CCCCAATGGCCCACCCATTAAAACATTTCTGGAGGCGCCACTGTTTGTTATGAACTGTGACATTAATGTCTTTAGTGAGTTTGTTTTTCTGAATGACTGGCATGTGGAAGTCCTGTTCTGCTTCCCCTCTAGGAAGCTATGTAGGAGTTTCAGAGAACTCTATTGTTTTCTTTCTCTTGTAACCGATAAGTATCCAATGAATCAGGGCTTTTTGTTCAGGGAGGTTAGCATGAGAGGAAAAGGGAAAATTACCTTGAGTTTTCAACTCCTGAGAAAGGGACAGGAGGCAGGATAAAGAGATAACAGGAGATACGATTATTGCCAAAAATAGTTTCTTTGAGGACAATTCTGGTTGCGTGCGAACAATAATTGCTGAGTTGAAGTTGTTTATGTGCTAAGCAGTAGAAAATCCATCAATCAGACTTGATTTTTTTAGCTCTTAAATAAAATTCAATTTGGGTGTCTTTTTGGTAAGCAGGTCAGATGGTAATCAGGATTAAATCTGAAGGTTCATCTGTGGGTTACTGGTACACTGCTGCTGGGCAAGATGTCCACACAGTGTACTGCAGAAATTGTTGTCACATTTCACCCAGAGGTGTGTTAAGTCATGGTGTAAAAGTAATCTGGATTATTGCCACACAAACACAAGACTGGATCGTTTGTATTTTATTGCACATGCTTACTGATTATTTAATCTGAGTATTAACACTTGTCTTTGCTGTTTACTTACTGATTTAAATAGAGATTATCTGTAGATGTTTTTCTAAACCTTTTTTTACTTAACTACAAAAGCATTTCTACAGTTTAATGAAAATTGTTAAATTTAAGGGAACTTAATTGAGCTCTTCAAGCCACCATATCAGTTTGGAAAAGCTATTTATACAAGCATTTTCACAAGCTAACTTTTACTTTCACATAAAGAGCATAACTATTTATTACAGAACTGTGTGTTTATTTGATGATAGTAGACAAAACAACACATTGAATCTCCATAAGGCTTTGGTTAGCGTCAAATTAAATCTCGAATGCAAAGTCATGTGCTAATCTATATGGCTTAATTAATTAACACAACAAGCAACAGAGACCTTAAACAAAGGGAACCTAAAAACTTGTATGTCCAAAAATCTTGGGCTGTGATGACAGTCCTTTAACATGATAGTTAAAATCATTCCATAAATATAAATATTTTGCATGTTTTTGTAGGCTGTGTTATGTGTGTAGATGTTTTCCCTTCAGTCCCACACTGACATGCACAATAGGCATCAAGTTTATTTTGCCTCTTTATTGCAGCTGAAACCGTCATTTGCAGAAGATAACACACCCTCTGCAAGATGACCTGTCTGAGAGTTTACTTGCGGAAATCCTCTGCAGACCCTCCTGAGGCATCGTCCTTTCTCCTCAGCACACACGGTGAGGCCAATTTCTTCATAAGAAATAGTTCTGTTCTGACTGTAGTAACAGTCTGCTGAGAAAACATTTGCAACACGTTGTGGATTGTGGCATGGGTCTAAAGAGGGTAAAATCAGATTTTGACCAAGTATAATCCATCTCTAGTTGATCCAAATGTTAGTGCATGTGAAGGAATTTGTTTGTGTTACGTGAAGGACTGTGCAATAAGTGCCTGATACCACCGACATTTGATCCTGCTGTTTTTCCAGGATGAGCAGCATTAGTTGCAGCAACAAGTAGGCTCAGATGTAGTAACATGTCCCCGGTCTGGTAATGAGGCTCCCCCTCTTCTTCTGGTGACAATGAATCATTTATCAGGGGTATTATCTGAACCCTGGGAGAGTGCACCTGCACTGTTTACTGAGATTAAAACCTCATCCATAATCTAGTATTTATCCATTGGAATAAATGAATATTAACATGGTATTATAGGGGTGTGGTTACAGTTGAGGGCTAACATTTTAGTATTTTATGACTGATGCTGTGTCACAGCCTAATTCATGTTTGTGAATGAGGTCAGGGGCTAAGTTCTGGCTAAATATTATCACAACATTTAACTACACTAGAGTTTTATATTTTTTTTGGTGAATGGAAAATATTCATACACTTGCCTGAAGTGTTTTTTATGTATTTTGAAAAGACTTGATAGGCATTAAAGTGGGATAGAAACATGTGACTGACTCCTCTTAGTCATAAAACAAGCAAATGTAACAATGCTGTATTGCATTACTACAAGTGGAGCTTTAAAGTATTTTAAACAAAGAAGAGAAGTTTTATTCCTTCTGGTGTACAATGTTTAACTCTGTTACACAGAACCAGATGCGTCTGTGCCTTAAAAGAGTTTGTGTGTATAGTCTGAGACACAAAGTTGTATATTTATGCTCATGTGGAATACGTACAGGCATTAAACAGCTTCTTTAGGACAGTGAAGTTGTATCTCTCACGTAGATGTCTCAAATGAGCTTTTAGTCAGACTTCCTAAACATCTGTCACAAATAAATAGTTTAGGCCCAACACCAAAACCAACTTGAACATGTTTCCTTCCTCTCATACAGATATGACTGGTGAGTTTAGTCTATGCAGTCTTCAGGAGCTCAGACAACTCTAAACAAGAAAACAACAACTTTGATCATAACAAACCAATCAGTGGGAAGCACATAACCATAAACTTCTTATAACACAAAAAGACCTGTAATTTTTCTTTCAATATGCTGTTTTATGTATGAATCATCTACTCTGGCCTTTACTTAGTTCAGTCTGCCAGCGTGCCGTTTCAGAACTGGGTCAAATATGTCTGTAAGCTTTAAGAAAGCTTCTTTTGTTTACGATAGTGTACTCGTAGATCCCTAAGAGGAATTTTTTTTACTGCCAAAGAAGGAATTAGAGCTATGAACCAAGTGAAGACCTAATGCTTTTTCTTCCCCTGGGGCATTTGTGGATTTGTGTGTGTAGTTCAATGTGATAAGTGATACAAATAAACCAACAGAGCAACTGTACAAACGTGCACATAAGTAAGTAACAGTTATGGCATGATTGTTGTTTTCTGCTCAGTAATATTAGAAAAAGGACTTACTCATACAAAGCACCGCCTATTTACCCAAAGCTCTTCCCTTCAGCTCAGTCCCCAGCCGAGCTCCCCCCACAGAGCACTCCTCCCCCGTGCCTCCCCCACACAGCTCCACCCCTAGCGGCAGCAACAATTAGCAAACATCTAGTGGAACTACATGTCTGATGAGCTTGTAATACCAACTCCAAAACATTGCTTTATAATCTATAGTTATAGTTTTTTTTTTTTGCAAAAAGTAGCTTAACATTGATTTATATGAGAGGATGACTAAGAGCTATATTACCAAGTGAAATGTCTTGTAAGAGTCTCTGTACTTGCTCAAGTTCTCCAGGAAACATACTATCCAGGTCCAACATGGGATCACTTGATAAAAATCAACTGTACCCTGAGTTGCCATTTTCCAAAACCGATATTATACTGTATAATGTTGCTTATTTTTGTTTACAACAAAATACAATGCTCCTACCAAAGTTTGTAAATGGCATGAAGCATTGTTGTGATGCAGAAGTGGGATTGTCAGGAATGGTAGGTGTTTCTTAAAGAGACAGAAACTCCAGTTTCAAGGGGTTTAGATAGGCTATGATGCATGATGCATTTTTTTTCTTAAATCTTTTTTTTTTTTTTTGCTCAAGGGTTTACTGTCTGAATCTAGCCTAGAGTTTTCACTGCTAGTCCCATTCTGTTGTGCATTTATCTCATCATGGTCTTTTGTAAAAATGGCAAGTTTGCCAGTGCTTATGTGTATTAAGGGAAATTTCTTTTTTGCCATGATTAAAATGCACAGAGCATTACATGTGCAGGCTTTTAGTAAAATGTGCACCCTTTCAGATATTGAATTACTGTAGAATCTTGTCTTTGAAACTATGAAAGAATTCTTCCAGAATATTATTTTTGTCAAGTCATTTTTCCATCTGACATACAGGTGTCTCCCTCTGTAGATTAAATGGAAACAGTAAATTTGATCCACTGGCCTGATTACATTATGTGGCAAGAGTTCGGTTTCACCGAATTTGGCTGCTCAGATGAGTTTTGGAAGGTTATATAAAAAGCTTGTTAAAATAAACTCAATAAGAAGAGGAGGAGACACCTAGTGTCTCTCATCAAATCTGCTCTTTGTTCCCACCCGGATCAAATGGAATGAACTGGCACTTGCCCCAGATGAAAACTTAAAATCCTGCACACAGCAGTTTCCCAACTTTTCAAAATGCTTCCTTTTCTCAGGAAAATCTCTCAGAAAAGGGATTAACTTTGTAACTTTGTTCTTTTCTTGCTCCTCCTTGCTGATAAAGCTGCTTTAATGACTGACAGTGTCCCCTGACTCTGGGGGTAACCCAGGATTTCAAACGTAAAKGCAGCCACTGAAAAAGCACAATTATACTACAGGAAAAAAAGGAACAGAAGTTAAACTTTAAGAGGCACACATTCACAACCTTGTATTAGCTGGTCCATGGCCATTTTTTATTTTAGAAAATGGATTTTCTACTTACATTCTTTGTCAAACATTTTCAATTTACTTTTAATTCCAGTTTTAAATTGATCAAGTGATAGCATGCAAGGGCATCCTAAAAAGATCAGGAAATGAGCTTTGTTTGGTGACAAGGATGCAGCTGAATGCAATATTTGGGACACATCTGGGCACATTACTGCGTCCATTTAAATGACTCAATATAACTATGCGTGCTGGTTCTTAATGTCCAAATTTTCTCCAAGCTCTCTTAAAACACTAATAAAATGAATAATTAATTAAGACTTAATTTATTTGCTACTAGTGATTGAAAGTCAAACAAGGAATGATTTAATTAAGACACTGTTAAATTTTAAACGTTTGTGTAGCGCTCAACAGTGAGTCCCTATGAGTCTTATAAATGGTCTAATAACTGAAGCTGACTGATAAGAAAGACGGAGGAGGGCTAAACAAACATTACCACTTCAATTTTTCACATCCAAAAGAAATGTAGTAGCAATATTACAAAAGCTGGACTAACATAAATATGAGAAAAAAAAAGTAATTTCAAATAAAAAATGTTCTGGAGGCATCGCAACGAGCAAGGCTAAAAGGAAACATTCACAGCACTTGTATAAATGTGTTGTAGCTGGACAATTTATCTGATGCAGGAATCCTTTTGTGCAGTCGCAACGTTTGTTTGGTTCACAAAAAGAGCTTCCCACCTGTACGACCTTGTGACTACCAGCAGTATGGTGTTGCATTTGTCCCTTTTCTTTACGTCAACATAAGAAACATGAAAGAAATATTAGGAGAAATATGAGCGTTTGTGCTGATCCTTGGGCTGTTTTAGATTTATTATTGAAACCTTTTTCTCGTTTACAGATTTAGGATGTTATCTGCATCGATCTAAAGTTCATGATTTTAGTGCTGACTTGTTTGGTTTCAGGCGCTGTGTTGGACGGGATTCAGAATGTTATGGCCTAATTGTGCTGGCACATGAACAAGAGCAAACTGCATAGGGTAAAGAGCAGAAAGTCAGTGTAGGAAATATTAAGGTCTTTACTGAAACTCTGCCAACTATCCGACAAGAATAAGCAATGTGGGCTAAAACATTAGATTTATACCTGGCTCAGTTTGAAAATGATTAAACTTTTATATGGCTGTTTGTATTTTCCAGGAAGAGGCACATTATTAAAGTTTACCACCTCTGCTTTTTTTCTAAAATGTATCTTTTAGTTTACTCTTTTGTCTACAAGTGTTTTATATGATCACTTATTGCTTTCATTGCATCAACAAAAGGTTTTATTTGAGACCTTTTGTTGTTCAGTATTGTTTCTTTTTAATTCTCCCCCTTCTAGTACCAATTTGGTGTCACACTTTCACTGAAGGCAACTTTTTTCTTGACCTTCTTTTGCCTTAACCAGCTTGGTATTTTAAACTCTCTCCAGCTCTAAATCCTTCCATACGCATCAACTTCACAACCATCTCTGCTACCCTGGGGTGCAGTCAGTGCATTTCTGAAGAGCCAGAAAATTTGACTTGGAAAATGTGAGTTTGGATTCATGCAAGTTATCCAAGTCTGGTCCTTTTACTTATATACTTCTAAATGATACATTTTCCATTTTTTTTCTGAACTTTAAATTTATTCCTTTTTAAAGCTCCTAACTAAACTTTATCTTAAAAATATTTGTACTATTAATATTGACATCTCAGAAAAAAATATTTTCTGCCAGGTGTGATCCTATAAGCAGGGAGACTTGCAGGATTATTTGCAGATTTTTTTAAATAAAGGACCATTATTTAAACATCTATTTTATATATGATCTGTTCTATATTTTTTTTAAAGAAGGCCATTTCTAGGGAAATTTATAGTTTTCTTTTACATAATGTTACATACGCTTGTCATTTAGAATCAGGAAGACAATTAAAAAAATCTTTACATGGTGA